ACTCAGGTGAGGCTCGGATACTCGCTGTTAGCAGTTAGCCGTTAGTGCTGTTAGCCGTTAGCCGTTAGTGCTGTTAGCAGTTAGTGCTGTTAGTAGTTAGCCGTTAGTGCAGTTAGCCGTTAGTGCTGTTAGCCGTTAGCCGTTAGTGCTGTTAGCAGTTAGTGCTGTTAGTAGTTAGCCGTTAGTGCTGTTAGCAGTTAGTGCTGTTAGTAGTTAGCCGTTAGTGCTGTTAGCAGTTAGCCGTTAGTTTGGGAGAAGAGAAGTGGACTGCGCATGCTCAGTATTTAAGCTAGTGTTAGCCTGGTTGTTTCAGCTCATTTGGTGTTTCACAGCTGTCATTAGGGACATAGTTTTATATTTTATGTTTGTAAGCGACCTATTTGTAACGTTATTATCATTTAAAGGGATAAAAATGTTTTAATTCTTTAATATAAAGTTACAAAGCTGGCTCATGTCACTGTTGTTTTTAGCCAATACAGGGAGGTAAATGATATTTTACTGAGAGGTTTTCACCTCTAAGTTAAAAACGACAAATCTCCAGTTAAATATTGACTCAAACGTTTGATTATTCTACAGTATTAATGTATTTTTGTGATTGCAGGCCCCTCGGTTAGCAGAGAAGTACTGTGTTTGTCACCTGGCTACAGGTGACATGCTGAGGGCCATGGTGGCCTCAGGCTCWGAGCTCGGCAAGAGGCTGAAGGAGACGATGGATGCCGGCAAGCTGGTAAAACTGCACTTTTCATCCTGTTTCCACAGTTCCACTCACAGGAACAGGATTATTGATGTTTTATTGTTTAAATGTGTCGGCAGCATCAATGAGTGGAAAACACACGRGTCAGAACACAGCTGCAACAGTTTTGTTGCTGCTGTTGCATATTTAAAATAARAAGCTGYATTTGTTCTGTTAAYGTTCTGTTTCCTGCYTTTTGTATTTTAAATTTCCGTCGTTTTAAAAAACGACCAGAGGCTGCAGGAGGTGTTGATGTGGTTAAATCCTCCTGCAGGTCAGTGATGAGATGGTGGTGGAGCTCATCGAGAAGAACCTGGAGACGCCGGCCTGCAGGAACGGGTTCCTGTTGGACGGATTCCCCCGCACCGTCAAACAGGCAGAGATGGTCAGCTGTTGATTTAATGTGAATTATACCGGCTTTTATTTGAATAAAACTGAAATCCTGTTGCGAACCAGAAAAGTTAMGTGTCTCTGCGTTTTGTCCTTCAGCTGGACGACCTGTTGGACAAAAGACGGGAGAACCTGGACTCTGTCATTGAGTTTGCCGTCGACGACTCTCTGCTGGTTCGCAGGATCTGTGGCAGGTAAGACGCTGACTGCAGCGGGTGTTTTTGGCTCGGGGCGGGCTTTGATTCAGAGCCGGTGTTTTATTTACAGCCAGTTCTTTGTTTGAGCAGTCTGGACCCGGTCCTGCTGTTTCTGGTTTCCAGCACAATGTAGAAACTTTAAAAAGTTTTTTTTAGGGAATTATTTCGAGCTGGACCAGTAGGTGGCGCCTTTGTGCCGCTGCTTTGTTAAAAACAAGGTGGAAACTTTGATCCAGGAGCCAAATGTTGCTCTATCAGCTCCTTTTAGATTCATGAAGCTTTGTGAACTAATATATCGATTTTTACATTTTTTAAACCAGTGATACACCAAATAATGAGCATTTATACAGTCTCTCTATGGTTTTAAAAAGAGTTTTAACTGTTATTTACTTACAGAAGCAGAGTTTATTAGTAGTTTTGGTTGTTTTTAATCTCGCAGCACACATTCATCTCATACAGTGTATGACTCTCAGCTACTACCACGCCATATTTTAGCTCAACATTTTTTAAATTGACTGCTTTAAATGGATTTATGAGGAGTTGTGGTGGTATTATTGAATCAAGTTAACCAGTTGCATCTAATGATTAATTCCTAAAAGTTTCAATAAAACCTGTTGTGGTTTGTGAGATATTTTGCTAACAGACATGTTATTGCTCAGACTGCATATTGAGGATGACTCTCAGCTACTACCACGCCAAATTTGAGCTCAATATCTGTAAAACTGATCGCATCGTAGCCATTTATGTTTGGCTAATGTCGGCCATCTTGAATAGAGTTTATGTCAGTTGTTGTTCCAATGACTAATATCTGAGATCTTCAGGAAAACCCAGTTAGTGGTTAATGAGATATTTTGCTAACAGACAGACAGGAGCCTTTCCTAGCAGCCGGCGGTGATTAGCGCAGACTGCAGCTGGTGTCTGGTTGTTTTGATGAGCGGCTCTGCCCACGCTGCAAAACGTTCAGGATTTAAAAAAACAAAGAACAAGTTTGATCCGGTCTTCAAAGATGTTTTCTTGGAACAGATGATTCAGATTTCAGAGCGTCTTTTATTCTGATTCTGAATGACGTAATCTGAGTCCGGTTAGTAGATAGTCTTGTCTCTGTGTGGGGACGTTTGTGAGGATGACGTGAAAGGTCGGTGAAGTGGTTGAGTCACAGGTGGTCATCAGACCCTGATCTGCCCCTCCCCCTCCCTGTGTGTTCCCTCAGACTGATCCATCAGCCCAGCGGACGCTCGTACCACGAGGAGTTCCAACCCCCCAAAGAACCCATGAAGGACGACGTAAGAACAGAACTCACCATCGAACGATGGATAATCAGACTCAGCTGTTTCTGTTCTGAAAGTTTCGTGAGGTTTAAATAAAAAGATTCATCAGAGCTGGAGTCTGAGCGAGTTTCCGTGTTTTCCCTCCAGGTGACGGGCGAGCCGCTCATGCGCCGCAGCGACGACAACGAGACGACGCTGCGCTCCCGCCTGAGCTCCTACCACCGGCAGACGGTGCCCCTGGTGCAGTACTACAGCRCGCGGGGTTTGCACACGGCCGTCGACGCCTCCCAGGACCCCAACGTGGTCTTCGCCTCCATCGTCGCCGCCTTCTCCGTGGCCACAGAAGCCCCCGCCCGCGCCGTCGCCTGTAAAGACMGAGTGTTCTTCATTTAAACCCCTTTTTTCCTCCTTCCTGTACCTCGTCCTGCTGCCTCTCTTTCCTCTCTGTTGAAGTGTCTGAAAAACGTGGAAGATGGAGGCTTAATGTGGCGTCAGCTGTGCTGTCACTTCCTGTTTTTATTTTAGTTTKAATGGTTGAAGAGGTGCCTTTGTGGGTTAAACCATCAGTGCTGCTGAGTTCAGATTCGTGGGTAATCCTGGTCCTGGAGGGCCGCAGCCCTGCATGTTCTACTTGTTCCTCTGCTCCAACACACCTGATATGAAGGAACAGATGATTATCAGGCAGTACGGAGGACCAACACTGACAGAATTAGAAATAAAAGCAGAATTATATGAACCACTAAATAAATACAATTAAAATGCACCAATTAAATTAAAAAATAACTTATCTCCTGTTTTATATTTTAATTGACTTTCATATTTATTTTTCCAGGTTAGTTCCAATAAATTAGTCTATATATTTGAACACAATTTAAATTTTACTGTTTTTTTCCTACCCTCATCTATGGTCATGAGCTTTGGGTCATGACCGAAAGAACGAGGTCCCGGATACAAGCGGCCGAAATGAGTTTCCTCCGCAGGGTGGCTGGRCTCTCCCTTAGAGATAGGGTGAGAAGCTCGGTCATCCGGGACGGACTCAGAGTAGAGCCGCTGCTCCTCCACGTCGAGAGGAGCCAGTTGAGGTGGCTCGGGCATCTGGTAAGGATGCCTCCTGGACGCCTCCCTGGTGAGGTATTCCGGGCACGTCCCACCGGGAGGAGGCCCCGAGGAAGACCCAGGACACGCTGGAGGGACTATGTCTCTCGGCTGGCCTGGGAACGCCTTGGAGTTCCCCCGGAGGAGCTGGAAGAAGTGGCTGGGGAAAGGGAGGTCTGGGCCTCCCTTCTGAAGCTGCTGCCCCCGCGACCCGACCCCGGATAGGCGGAAGAAAATGGATGGATGGATGGATGGATGTTTTTTTAAAAATACATAATTGTTTTCCTTTTACTTGTACATACATTTGTGTGTCTTAAATGTTTATACTTAATTATTTTTATAGTTTTTTTCCAACAAGTCTTTATTTCTATGTGTTGCATGTTTGTGCCTCAGTTTAGCTAAAAGTTTAAAGTTTAGTTTAAAACAAAGGCAAGGAGGAAAACATTACCTGTGCATTTATTTTTAACTAAACTTTAAGCTAAACTGCAGCAGCACAAACATGCAACACATAGAAATAAAAAGACTTGTTGGACAAAATTATAAAAATAATTCAGTTTAAGCATTCAAGAGACATAAATGCATGTAAAAGGAAAAACAATCATAATATATATTAAAAACTTTAAATTATGTGTTAAAATATATAATTTATTGGAACTAAGGTGGGAAAATAAATATGAAGGTAAATTAAACGTGAGGTAAAGTTCTCCTTTTTAATTTATTTGGTGCATTTTAAATGTATGTAATTATTTAAAGGTTTATTTATATATTTCTGCTTTTATTTCTAATAATGTCAGTGTCGGCCCTCCATACTGCAGAACTTGAAGAGGGACTGAACCAGGTGTGTTGGAGCAGGAAACATGTGAAACCTGTAGGGCTGCGGCCCTCCAGGACCAGGATGGACCACCTCTGGGTTAGAGTGAGATGATTCGTCTCTGAACGCTGACACGTTGGCTCTTGTTTAATCCAGAACTTTTCCTCTTTATTTTAGTTTTAATTCTAGTTTGGATCCTTTGTTCCTCACCCAGCTGGTTTTTTTCCTTTCTCTGCCGTATCCTTGAACTTGAAATGCGTCTGAAGCAGCAGAACATGTTGTTTTTTTTTTGACATTTCTCTTGTTTACACCTGGTGCTGTGAGGTTACACGTCCTCATGTGACTCCAGAGAACACTTCATCATCCTGTCACTTTTTCCTGTTCCTCTGGGTTTCTGTTGGGCAGTTTTTTCTGCGCAGGTGGCTTTATTTCACCTCCTGACCTCTGGGTTGTGTTTATAAACGGTTTGTTTTGATCAGGAGTGTTAAACTCCAGCTGATGATGGATAAAAACACGCTCCTAAACGAAGCTGAGCCTGTTTATAATCAGATGATTGGGTATCATCACGGCAGATGAGAGTAAAATATTCATCAGGTTGATCAGAGGCAAGAAGCTGGAGTTCTGTGTGGATTTAGAAAAGGATTAAATGTTGGACATGAAAGGTTTTTGACAGCTGATGGAGAGGTTTACTAATCGGGACAAACCAGGGCAGATTTATGAAGCCAGTTTGTTTGGTTTCTCACCTGGTGTTGAACGGTTATAAATTCCTAAATGTTGGTGTTTACTGCAGTTTGAAACACAACAGTAATAATTGTAATCGTTTTGTGGTTTTTGTCTCGAGGTCTGACTCAGACCTGTACCTGTTCTCACCTGTTCTACGGTTGTTGGAAGCTTGTCACCTTCAGCCTGGAGTGTGACGTTGTTCATATTTTCACTCTAAAGCTGTGATCTCACTGCTGGTGACAGAATAGTGAGAAAAAGAGAAAATTTGAGTTTAATTCTTAGAAAAAAATCACTTATTTTGATGCCGTGTTTTCTCTACCGTACTCGTTGTTTTGTTGCCTCGCTTTGATGATGTTTTTACTGGAGTCAGGTTTAATAATGACGACAGGCAGGTTACATGGTTGTTGTGGTTTAACGTTGGTCACAGTCATTAGCAAACACTGCTGGACTTCAAGGTGCAGCTGGAACCCGGTCCCTGATCTGGGTCTGACTGTTGGTGGAAACAAAAAGCAGCAGAACACCGTGCTGCTCGTCAGGGCTGGGCCATGTGGCTGAAAACGATCACAACACAAGTGTTTCATATCGGTGGAGATTAGGGCTGGGTGGTACGACCTCAGATTCAAATCACAGTATGAATGAAATCCCTTCACGGTAACCGTATATATCACGGTAGAAAATTATAAAAAGCAAAGATAATGTAATTTTTAGAGCATTTATTCAGCAGAAAACTGTCATCATAATCAAACCCAGCATTTTTGCTGTAAATGCACATAACAGAAGTACATAAGAATGTTTTATATATTGCAAAACAGTTTCAACAACGAACAAAAACATTTCTCAAATTTTCAACAATATCAAAATAAAGTAGATGTTATAACCAGTACTTCAAGTAAAATTTTTCATTTAGACATAAAACATTCTAAGTTGGTTTAAGTTGTCTAAAATGTTATAGTGTGACTAGGGCTGCCACAAACGATTATTTTTATAATTGATTAATCACTGATTATTTATTCGATTAGTCGACTAATCAGATCACACGTTAATTGAATATAAAACATACAGCTTATCACGTCAGAATGCAGCTGCTATTATATAACCATGGTTAGATTTTAGCTATATGCTAACTAAAAATAACTGCTGTGGAAGGTAAGTTCTGCTCTGCAGATATTACACAGGTTTCTCTTTCATTTTCTTAAAATGATCCCACACTTTGAGCTCTGTTGTCAGGTAGCCATGATACCAGAGCCTGTCTGTATAATGTCTTGTGACGTCCACGGCCTACCCCAGTTACCACTGCTGTGCATGTGTGTCAAGGACAGAAAGGCAGACGTGGCAGTGGAAGGTGTCAAAGCAGTTTGGAGAGAAAAACAGAGTAAAAACTGAAAGAAAACAACTAATCATGGCAGCCCTAAGTGTGACAGGACCTTAAGAGGCTTAAGCTGCACAAAGTCCTGTCATAAAACAATTTCACATAACTGGAATGTAAGTGTGTTGAAGCCAAATAAATGTAATATCTGCCTGCCATACAATGTGCTTCTGCCTGCTGAACTGACCCTCTGCTCTGCTGCTCTCAGAGCAGAAGATGGATTTATGACTGAACAAACATCCACGTCTTTTTTTATCGTTTCTGTGGGTAACAATACATAAAAAACAAGTTTTTTTCTCCGACAACTTGTGTGTTAAAACTACGGTTGTTAAAGCTTCACTCTGCGTGACGTGCAGCGGGAGGGAGGAGACGATCCCGCGACACGATGTAACTTTTCAACAGCAGGAGGGGAAATTTTGAGGATTTATTCTGTCTGTACCTATTTTAAAAYKCTACATTTYTTCATTTATTTTCWTTATATTTTGAACTCCTGCTCAGGTGTGTCTGCACTCACAGCCATGTGGACACAGGTGTGATGATGTAACTGATGACAGGACAGTAGAGGGTGAATTTCTACTGTAGACCAACTTCATATCGTTTCTACCRTCTATCACAAACACTGCRCAGCCTCAGTGGAGATCAATAATTATTGATTAGTTTCTTGTTTTGCAGATTTGAAATAAAAACCAGGAGACGTGACATTTCTCCTTGAGCTGTTGCTCTCWTTTTCTCCTTTCACTCCGTCGCCCTCTTTTCTTTTGAAGCACTTGTGAGGCGCAGCAGTGAAACATGAACCTGCTGCTGCACAGTGCTCAACAGGTGCTAGCTGCCAGTGATTTTACAGCTGCAGCAGCTGTTCTTGTGTTGTCACAATCTCTGCTCTTTTTATTTCCCTGCATTATCCACGTTCCATCAGACATATTGTCTATGGATCGATCACGTGTCTATCAGGASGTTTATCATTTTATCTCCCAGTTCTGCTGTCTCATGTTAAAACTRCAGAAACTGACACAAATACATAGCTAACTGCTGGGTAAAACCTGTGGTTCTGGACCTGAACCGGACCCGCTCGCCCTCTTTGTTTGTCCATTAGTGTAATAATCTGCCATCTGCTGCAGCGCCGCTCGGCTCTCACGACCCGACACTCAGACTCTGGATCCACTCTGTTAATTGTTCAAATCAATTAACCTTTTTTTTCTGGGAAGCAGAGTTGTTCTGCGTCAGTGCCTTCTCTGGGTTTCAGGAACGGTTCTGTGAATCAGCGCCGCTGCGTTTACAGCTTCCTGACCATCTGCTGCAGGAACATGAATTTAACGTGAGGTTGTAGCAGCAACRCCTCGTCGCTGACCTGCTTTCATTCACTTTGGTCATTTTTATAGGTGAACAAACACATCCTGATGGAGCACAAGACACTTTAAATCCTCTCCAGAACCACTCTGGACCTGGAACCAGAGCTGTTGATGCAGACAGCTTGTAGATGTCTGAACCGTCTCGGATGTTTTTACTGGTTAAAAGACCAAAAAGTAGTTTTTGAAAAGGCAGATTTAAAGTAAAGACGTTCAGTTTTTGTCTTGTTGAAAAGGTGGCATCACATTTGTTCTGGTTTTGGTTCTTTTCAGGCCTGTAGTTGGAACAGGATCAGTCTGTATTAATGTGAATTTATCTTSAGTTTAGTTTTTTTGAAGCATCTCAAACATTTGGTAAAATTAAAAGGGAGAAATCTGGATGAGCTGTTATTTGTTTAAAACAGTTTATGATGTATTTAATGTTTACAGGAAGTGTTTACTTTCAGATGAGCAGTATTTTAAATCATTCTCAGTATTTAAATCTGATCTGATTAAAGCACCTTATATATATTCTGAGGTCTCAGCAGCACTTTGTCAGGGTCAGAAACATGATTTAAAGTTTGTTTCTGCAGCTTCTCTTCACCTGAGGTTTATTTTTACRCTCATCAGGTGCGTTAGCTTAAACAGGTACAGAAGCAGCTGCTTTTTTATCTTTATCTTCTTGTGTTTTTGGTTCTGAACTCTCATCTCTGGTGTCTGAAAAACCAAAGCAGATCTTTGTCTCTGTTCGTGTGTCTCTGGATGTTTCCTGTTTAAACCAAGTGTTTGAAAAATGTGAACTTTCAAAGCTTAAATCTGTGAACTGGATCAGAATATTCTGTTCCTGTCGCAGCATTTTAATGACACAAAAACCCATCTTCCCCCTTTTCTTTCTTGTTTTTGTCTTTCAGCTGGTTGAATCCTGAGCCGCTTCACTCCCTCTGAGGCGAACACACACAGACAAAATGAGTTTATTAAACTAGATTTACAGTTTCGGTGCTGTTGAGATTTATTTTTAGATCATGAAACGAGTGAAATGAAAACCAGGACCTAAAATAAACATCATGCTTTTCTAAAATCACTATTGGTTTGTTCTTTTTATTCTCTCTCCTGGTTGACTTCAAAGTTTTTTGTGATTAAAGTCCCACTCCGTAGTTTATTTTTTTAAACTTGTAACCTGATAATCTGTGCCTTGAAAAGTGAGGGACTATTGATCAGTATCTGACATTTATGTCCTTCAAAAGAAAACATCTTTATATTTAAGAAACCTGTTATAAAACACAAWTTTGTCACATAATTGACATATTTTCTTCTCAGTTTGGCTGAAAGTGAAACAGGAAGTGACATCAAAGGGGAACTCTTTAAGAAATAAACTGATCTTTGTTTATAGAAACTTTTCAGCTGCGATAGACTCAAAATAATCTAAAACATCAGATTCTTCTCTGCAGTCTGTTAGCTGTTAGCAACGCTTTGTTTACATGCTAACATTCCCCTTTGACATCACTTCCTGTTACTTCACATGTGAATATCTCAACAACCGTTCATCTCAGCATCGTGATGTTTTCTTAGCAATATGTCTTCAATGTTATCTTTCCAAAAATGTTTTTATATCTGTTGCAGAAATTTGAAGYCACGGGCACTTTAAATGGTTACAGGAATGTGTGGGAGTCCAGCAGATTTTTATTCTTTAGATTATTCCTTCATGTGTGACGTGTTTCTAGTAGTTAAGTGGTAATGAAAAGAGTTCTTTTTGTTTCTTTTTGTATGAAAACAGGAGATTAAAGMTCCTCGGCTGCAGTTTTCCTGGAGTATAAAGCTGCTGCAGCATCACGAGTCTGAGGCTTCTCGTCATAGATGTTGTTGTTTTCACACTTTATGTATTTTTWAAAAATACTGATCTGTTTTCTGCAGATCTATCTTTGTTTTTCACAGAAGTTAAAAGAKGCTTTTGAGTTTGTTCTCATTATGCATTTCCCTGGAAACTCTTATCTGAAAATTATTTCCTGCTCTTCATTCTGGGAAAATGAGCCTCTGTTAATGATTAAGATGCCTGATTGGACTTACTGAGCTGGTTTAATCGTTTTATAGCTGCTGTAATAACTTTAAATGGTCATAAATTGAGGAAGTGGACAAAAAGGGTCATTTATTCAGTATTTTATAATCCAAATGATGATTTTAGCAGTCTATTTTATGCTCTAAGCTTTATAGAAACATGCATATAAATGAAAATATAGTACAGGAACCATTTACACCCAGCTAAGGATGTTTAGCTTTAAAATCAGTTAAACTATATATTTAGACATTTAATAATCTTGGATTTTGATTTACTTAGCTAACAAGCTATTTAAATAGCAACCTAAATAAAACAAATGCTAACTACAACATAAACTAGTTAGCACTCGGATTGCTAATGCTAGCTAGCTCAAGTGCTAGTTAGCTAGCCAAATAAATGCTAACTAGCTATCTAAATAAAATACGACTGTTCAAAAAATTTTTAAATATATTTTTATTTTAGTGTGTAATTTAGTTCTGAAGCAGTTATGATGCTGTTTTAATAAAGTTAAATTGAATATAGGCGTCGACGGGGCGGGGCTTCCTTTGACTCGACGTCGTTGCGTCACCGACGGTGTTTCCTCCCTGACGTCAGTGCGCGGAGCGGCAGGCAGCAGCAGAGAGAAGGGAGAAGTCGAGGCGGAGCGACCTGCACATATTATCCCTCAGAGTGTCACACCTGCAGGAGGACCAGAGGCCGCTGTAATCCCTCAGGAAAGCCCGGAGACTCGGAGAGGAAAGGGCCGAGGACGGGCCGGACCGGAGAGGAGGTCCAGAACAAGCCTCGCTCTGCGGAGGAAGACATCCTGCTGAGAGGTGAGTGTTCCTCCGCTGCTGCTGCTGCAGGGAGGSTTTTAACAGATGTCACTGGAACGGGTTAAAATCAGCTAAAAACAGGGAGAGAAGTGTTAAAGTCAGAACAGGTAAATATCACCAGAGAGGACAATCATAGCTGACAGAGATAAACTAAAATAAATCTYAATATTTCCATCAGATAATCCAGACCTGCACCTTTCAGATCAGATGATGTAGGGCCTATTTTTCAGAACAGAACCATTTAAACCTGGATCCCAACACTGTGGTTAAAAAAATAAATAATAATAATAATAAATCCTCCAGCTGATGTTTTGTTCTATCCATGCCGTGTGTGGTGACGTTTAAAAGAAAAATAAATACTTGGGTGATCTTAAACTGAAAAAATACTCACAAAATAAACTAAGAAATGAAATCAGGAAAAATAATTTTAAATATGATTGCAGGAACTTGTCTCTAAAGTTGTTCCAGGTCCAGGTTTACCCACCAGGAACCCACGAGACCAGGGAGTGAGCCATCCTGGTCTGCTGGATGGGAGCAGATATTCTCTATTTTTCTTTAAGCTTTAGATGTGTAAGATGATACACACTAGAGACACTAATGCACCTCCATACCATCAGAGAGAGGCAGATTTTAGACCTGTGCACTGATTACAGACTTCTCTAGTTTGGAGGACATGATGTTTTTCATTTTGCCTCACCACATTTTTTTGCACGATAGAGCTTTAACCAGCATTACTAAGCTATATTTTGAGTAAAATATGGACTTTAAATAATTTATCGTATTTTATTTTATTTTAATTTTTTTACCACTTTTTGCTTTATCCATCAGAATGTTTTTATTATTTGGAACAAGTGATATTTACAGAATGTAAACATGAATAAACCGAACCGTCCAAAAGTGGACAAACAGGCAGATGTAGGGTTTTGATTTAAACATGTGCAAAAATTGTATTTTGTCAAAATATAATGTCTTATCAATGAATGAATGAAGTGTCTGAAATATAATCCTAAAAAACATTTTTGAAGCATTTTTTGAGCAGTAGCAACAAAAAAACTGATTTTGAGGAAAAAAAATTTTAAAATTTTGAATTTTTCCCAGTGAGCTAACAATGTTTTAGTTTCTTTCCAACTGGGAAATCTTAATATACAAATACTATTTGAGGTTTCCTCTTTATATTAACATAAAAAATGACTCAATAAATTTACATAAAATTAGGATTCAGACCAAACAGTAATGTATTATCATAACCAACAAGACAAATGAAGTCATATCTCTGGATAAACTGATATCAGGATGATCCAGGTGTCAAAATGTAGCTTTTAAAGCAGGAAATTGAAAATATAGTTGGATCATTTTAAACAAATTTGACTTAATCCTCATTTTGATATGATGGGTCACATGTTTTTATTTATGTCAGCAGAAAATCAGGTTTAATAATGAGCTCTGGTGATGAGTAAAACAGTAATTAATATAAAACTGGTGGGGACTATAATCACCGCCTGCTTCGTTATGATTATTAGATGTTTATTTACCTGCAGAACAGGGAAAATTAACCAGTGGGTGCAGGAGGCAGGTGGGCACACAAAGGGAGAGTTCGACTTCCTCTTTGTTTYTCCACCGTCTCTCATCAACGCCTCCCTCCCCACACACAAACGCAGAGGAGGAGCGCGGAGCGTCCGGAGCCACGGAGCCGGGGAGCTGCTGTAATTAGAGGCGCGTTCAGGAGCCGAGCTGCTGAATGTTTAATGCGGTGCCTGCGGGCGCTTCTGAGAGCCGAGCTCCGAGCCGCGAACACACGCAGGCCCAACGAGACGACTCGGGTTTCTGCTCGTCACACGACAGACAGGCTGCAACTGGAAGCTCAGGACCTCATGAGAACCTGATAATGGTCCCCCTGAGGTCTGGTCTGGACCAGGAGCAGCTCCACACTCAAGAACTGAACATCCTTTGTACAAAAACACTTATGAAAAGATGTAGCAAAATCCATCCATCCATCCATTTTCTRTACACGCGTGTACAGAAAATGGATGGATGGATGGATTTTGCTACTTTTAGCTAACTTTTTGGTGTTTTTAGATGTTTTTCTTTGTTTCTTTTAGCTAATATTGTGCTGCATCTAGCTAATGTGCTGCAGCTAAGCTTAACCTTTAGCTGACATTTTGCTACTTTTAGCTAACTTCATGCTGCTTTTAGTTTTTAATTTTTTAAGCTACTATGCAGTTATGTTTACCTAACAGATCAGGCAACATCTTTRCTTTAAATGTTGGAGTCAACRCTGTCTGTTAGCAAAATATTTCCTAATCTTCTGTAATGAAAGTCTCAGTTTTACAGATAATTAGCTAAATTTAGCTGATTGGTCTGTGTAAATCTTTAATAACATTTTGAAGGCAGGATCATTTCCTGTAAAGTAAAATTTACTTTTGAATCATTTCTTTAGTTTTAAACCTTTTTTCAGTATCTGTCCTGCTGGTAAAACTGCATTATAATTATTCATTTATATATTTAGTTTTTTATTCGCCTGATTTTTTTTAGTTTATTGTTGTTCCTCTGTTGCTCTGTGGAAACAGAGAGGTTTGTTTAGCCTTCRAGCTAATTGACTCTAATTAGCTCTGCGCTAAAACACACAGAGACGTGATAAATGATCGGCTCTTTGCTGAGCGGCAGACCACCTGTTCCATCCAGAGCCCGCCGGCCCCTGGCTCTCAGATTAGCAGGGCTTTAATCAGTATCTGCAAACAGGATGAAGGTCTGACCCGCCTGCTGGACCTCAGCAGTCCGAGGACCAAAACACGCTCATCAGTCAGCCCGGACRATGGATGCAGAGCAGCAGAATAATATGCTTTGTTTAATGAAGGATCAAAGAGAACATCTTCTGTTAGCAAAATATCCCATAAAGCACTGGATGAACTGTAATAAATAACCTCATTAGGTTTTGGAGGCACAGCCACGGCTAATGCTACAACTCAGTGATTTTTACTGAGCTGAAATTAGCTGAGATTCATTTTCACCAGTTTAAACTTTGGCATAAAAGCAGCAGGTTATATTATTCCTGCCAGGACTTTATTTCTAACACTTATTTGGATTATTTTAATTYCCATAAACATCTCTTGCAGGTAGTTTCAGAGGTGAAAACGTCGACCCGAGCGCAGAGACACGTCCAGGCTGTGCTAACCTTTCAGCCATAGGCCTCACTGATCACAGCTTCAAACCGAAGCTTGAGAAAAGTGTCGAAATGTGTTCAGAAGTAAAAGCAGCAGGTTGTTAAGGAATCAGTAAATAACTGTAAACATCAGGTAATAATTAATCCATTTGGCAGAAACACTGATGCCTTCAGGTTCAATGGAAACAAGCTGCAGCCTGCCTCTGACAGTTTACAGTTTCCTCTGAAGTCTTTTTATTTTCTTTTAACACTCGGGGTCTGGTAGGGTCTTCAGAGGGGTACTGTAGGGACTTCAGTGGGGTCCGGTAGGATCTTCAGTGGGGTCCGGAAGGGTAGGGTCTTCAGTGGGGTACTGTAGGGTCTTCAATGGGGTCCGGTAGGGTAGGGTCTTCAGTGGGGTCTGGTAGGGTCTTCAATGGGGTCTGGTAGGGTCTTCAGAGGGGTCTGGTAGGGTCTTCACTGGGGTCTGGTAGGGTCTTCAGAGGGGTCTGGTAGGGTCTTCAGAGGGGTCTGGTAGGGTCTTCAGATGGGTCTGGTAGGGTCTTCAGTGGGGTCTGGTAGGGTCTTCAGTGGGGTCTGGTAGGGTCTTCAGAGGGGTCTGGTAGGGTCTTCAGAGGGGTCTGGTAGGGTCTTCAGATGGGTCCGGTAGGATCTTCAGTGGGGTCTGGTAGGATCTTCAGTGGGGTCCTTGGATTTTAAAGATGAGCTGATTCATTTGCTCAAAGCTTCTATTTGTTAAATCTTTTCTCGTGTCATGTTCCTGGCAGCGTTCCACCAGGAACCTGAGTCTGTTTCGTTATCAGTTTGATTATTTAATCTTGGTTCCACTTTAGGTTACTTCCTTGTGCCGAGACGGTGTGTGGGTGTGTATCTTCTGCCTGTTTCTGCATGTTGGTTGGCCGTGCCCTGCAGCAGAGTAGAGCTTAAACAGAACAGAACAGTGTGTTTTAGGGACAGATGAGAACAAATTGCCTGCAGAAACAGATCAGCCTCTCCCCTGCTCCCTGTCTGAATCAGAAGAGCCAGCGAGAACCTGGACCCGGGCCACCAGGTCTTCTTGTGTCCTCTTTAAAACTCTGAGCTCATCACCTTTAGCGTCAAACTGTATAAAAACAGGTAAAAGTCTCAGTGGCGCCCTCTGCAGGAGGCAGATTTCTAACTCGATGCAAACATTAAAGTTCGTACCTTCCTGGTAAACAGGATTTGTAAAGAAGTCTCCAAAATGTTTGCAGGTTTCTCATTTTCCTCTCAGGAATCTCAGGTTTATCGCTTCGTTCTGGATTTACAAGAACAAACTGACAAGTTTTCTCATGTGGGTTTAGTTTCTGTAGGTTCTAAAACAAATATCTGATGCTGAARGCCTGAAAGTCCAGGTCTAACACCATGCTAATAAGAAATTATTTGAAAAGTTTATTTCTAAAGTGTCCTCCAGAAGATTACATAATAAACAGAAGGGCAGTGGGTACAGAGAGGGTTGAGATGGGTACAGAGAGGGTTGAGGCGGGTACAGAGAGGGTTGAGGCGGGTACAGAGAGGAATGAGGCGGTTACAGAGAGGGCCGAGGTGAGAGAGGGTTGAGGTGGGTACTGAGAGGAATGAGGCGGGTACAGAGAGGACCGAGGTGAGAGAGGGTTGAGGCTGGTACAGAGAGGGTTGAGGTGAGGGAGGGTTGAGGCGGGTACAGAGAGGGTTGAGGCGGGTACAGAGAGGGTTGAGGCGGGTACAGAGAGGGTTGAGGCGGTTACAGAGAGGGCCGAGGTGAGAGAGGGTTGAGGTGGGTACAGAGAGGGTTGAGGCGGGTACAGAGAGGACCGAGGTGAGAGAGGGTTGAGGCGGTTACAGAGAGGGTTGAGGTGGGTTCAGAGAGGGTTGAGGCGGGTACAGAGAGGGTTGAGGCGGGTACAGAGAGGGTTGAGGTGGGTACAGAGAGGGTTGAGGTGGGTACAGAGAGGGTTGAGGCGGGTACAGAGAGGGTTGAGGTGAGAGAGAGGGTTGAGGTGGGTACAGAGAGGGTTGAGGCGGGTACAGAGAGGGTTGAGGCGGGTACAGAGAGGGTTGAGGTGGGTACAGAGAGGGTTGAGGCCGGTACAGAGAGGGTTGAGGTGGGTACAGAGAGGGTTTAGATGAGAGAGGGTTGAGGCGGGTACAGAGAGGGTTTAGATGAGAGAGGGTTGAGGCGGGTACAGAGAGGGTTTAGATGAGAGAGGGTTGAGGCGGGTACAGAGAGGGTTGAGGCAGGTACAATGTGGCAGATGAAACAATGTGCAGGACCTGGACTACAGCTCTGCAAGTTGTGCACAAAATAGGCACAGATTTTTCACAAATGAGTCGGCTGCTGAACGTGTGCCTGCACGTCTCTCTGGTCACTTCTGGTCTTTTTACTTTTGGCCCGGCTCGGTTCGACTCTGTGAGGTACAGGGTGATCAAACCTGCTTCCTGCTCGGTTCTCAGAACTAAGTCAGTTGARCAAAAAGAGAAAAATAAATAAATAAATGAAAAACTTTTGTTTCTGAGTTACATCAGTGTTTCAGCTTCTGATCGACCCGTTCCCTGAAGGTTCTGTTCCCTCTGAAGACATTTGACAGAAGAAACAGGAATGAATCTTAGGAGATGTGTGTGTGTGTGTGTGTGTGTGTGTGTGTGTCATCATTTGGCAGATGGAGCTGAACACTCTGAGAACATGACTTGTTATCAACACTTTGTTCCACACTCGTCCTCCTACTCCACTGCTGCTCGGCTCGACAAACAGAAACAGTCCGGGTTCTGCTTCGGCCCGGTCCTGCTCGAACCTCTGACCCGTTTCTACTTCTCTGAAGAATTTTAGCCTAATAATAAAAAACAATTTAAAATTTGAAGCTTTAATGGAGGATGTTTATAAAAAAATCTGTAAAATATTTTCCTTCTTCCTTAATTTAAAATAACTAAAACCTAAAAT